GTATATCCCAACCTGGATATCTCCCCAGACATCTAACTGTTTATTTAATATCTCCACTTGCATATCTCATGGATATCTCAAACATAACCTGACTAAAGCAGAATTCCTGATTTCTACCCCCTTCCTAACATGCTCTTCCTTAATTATTCCCCACATGGCTGCTGCAGAGATTCCTTTTAAAAGTAAACCATATGCGACATTCACCCCTCTGTTAAAAACCCTTCAATGGCTCTATCATACTTGGCATAAACGAGCCAGTGAATGATATGAAAGGCTTTCTGCCAGTCTGCACCCCCATCCAGTCATCCTGGTCCTTGTCATTCTTTTGCAGATTCATTGTCCTTAAATATCCAGGCATATTTCAAGCTTAGGGTCTTTGACCTCACAGTTTCCTGTGCTTGGATTGTACTTCTTTAAGAGAACTGCAGGGCATCTTCCCAACTTCAAGAGGTTCCCACTGGCTAAATCTGGGACAATTTGTAAAAATCTATGAATCCATTAGGACTTTCAAGAAAATGAAGGAAGAATAAAGAGAGAAAGAAAAAGTTTATTTACTGCCATTGGAGGTTACTATTAGACAACCCTTTTCTATATAAAATAGTAATTAAATAGAAAGCATTAAACATTTTCCCTGATTTCTAAGGAGGAATTATAATAAATACACCCCTGTGCATAAAGGAAAGTTCTTTAAAGAAGAATGCTAGCCAATAAATAGAAGGGATGATGGAGTGAGGAAAACTTCCTTTGCAACCCAATAAAATGGTTGACTGGGGCCAGGATCATCAATAGAGGCTGAAGATTAAAGAGAATATTGACTTGGTAAAAAAAAAAAAAAAATTTCCACCCCCACAGCTTACACAGGGGGAAATGTAGTTTCACACCCAATAGATTTGGCTGCCACTACCCAGCCAAGTGATCCAACTTAGTTATCACTAGAGGCAGGAAAATCGGTATTTCTCAGTATGATGGAATTTGAAGTACACAGCAGTATCATGAAACATTCTTGCCAATGTGGAATAGGAAATGAGAAAGTGACAGTGTCAACCTGATTTCAAAATTTGAGAAGTGATACATTGCCCATAGGACACACATGCCCCATTTGCAATGATGGTGAAGAATGAAATTAAAATATTATTTTTGCTTTCAATTTACATGTTGTAATGTTTTTCAATTAGTTGCCAAGTTGTTAGGTTAAAAATACTTGTTTGGCCCTCTCTATATAAAATGTTAGATATTTCTTTTGGCCTAGGGGAAAGAAAAAAAGACAGTAAGGATTCCATGAACAGAAAAAGCTTGGGAATCTCTGCCTTAGGGTCATCATTGTTTGAGAATTAAACATATGATATTCACCCTTTTGACCTAAAGTCATCAAAATGGTGCTCTGACTCACTTTCTCTTTCTCTGGTCTTTATTCCCGATGATTTTAACATGCATAGTAATGATCCCTCTGACCCTTCATAGTCTTGAACTTCTCCCTTTCAATGTCTCATCCTCCATCCTATCACAGCCACTAATTCCCTCTGCAGTATTTCCCTATTCTCTAGTTCTTGGCTCCAAAAAAATCCTTTGAAATGGTCCCCCATTGACCACTGACACCATACACCACCCACCCTTGGTTTGTCCTCTTCCCTCCTCTGCTTAGGTTCCATGATCAATCATTATATTATCTCTCCCTTGCCCATGTCCTCAACTTCCTTTCCCTTTTCTCATTTCATTATAGTTGCTTTGCAAACCCTACCTTAGGCAGATCTACTTCCCTGGCTCTTCTGGGTTACACCTGAGCACCTGGACTACTACAAGACCCCCATATTGCTTCTCAAACCTATTCTCCCTGCAACAGCCAGAGTGACTTTTTCTTTTTTTAAAATATTTTTTTTCAGTTCTATTTGGACACAATACCTTTATTTTTATTTATTTATTTTTATGTAGTGTTGAGGATCGAACCCAGAGCCTCGCACATGCTAGGCAAGCGCTCTACCGCTGAGTCACAATCCCAGCTCAGCAGCTAGAGTGACTTTCTAAAGTTTCCTTACTGCTTAAACTCTTATTGGTTCCTTGCCCTTCAGAAAGTCAAAACACATGAATCCTCATGCTCTGACCCCAACTTACCTCTCCAACCTCCTTTATTAGCATTCACCCCCTTCCCACAGCCCATGTTACACTGTGTGAATCCTGGAATGTTCCCTGTCTTCCCTCCCTTTTCTGCTTTTCCCTAATTGAACTAGTCTATCAGTCCTTACTGTGATCTCACTTTTCCAGGAGACCCCTGATATCTTCCCTACATGCTCCATAGACTACCCTTAGGTGGTAGCCCTGAACCTGTATTCCAGGTGATTCTATCTCATTTGCCTTCCTCACTATATTGGAAGTTTTTTGAGGACAAGAAATGTCCTCATATGGAATGTGCACTATAACTAGTTGTGAAATCGTGCTGAATTTTGCGAATAGTGTCGTTTAAATACATATACCTTTGTATGTCTGAAAGAATTCAGTCTTGGCAAATCAATTCTGGCTTCAACTTCCTAAGTGTCCATGGGCTTAAGGTCATTTTCCCTTGTTATTTCATCTTTCAGCAAAATGTGCAGCATGCCTTGCAACAATCAGCATTATGACTTGAGTTACTGTGACCACATCACCCTAGGGACTGGAGTACCAACTTTTTTTTTTTTAAATAGTTTTATACTCTTTTTCTGTATTGATATTTTAGACACTAGCTGTGGATGTTTCCAAGAAAGTTAACTGCTAGATACTGATATGAAAGAATAGCAGCAGTCAAGTCCTTATCCAGGGCTGTCCCATTAGGATCACTAGTCTGGACTTCCATAGGTCCCTTGAGATGTCAGTAATGAATTTTAATCAAGTTCAGAAAAGAGGGAAAAGGTGAAATTCCCTAAAGCACTCCCCTAAATGGAGGTCCAGGTTGACCATCTCATTTCCTTTCTTCAAAATTTGGTTTTCTTGCCTTATATGGGAAAGATAGTTCTTCTGAGAATAAACAGAAACAGATAAATGAATGTAGTGACTAGACAATGTTGAAATAAAAGGTTCTTCAGATATCATGAGATGGCATAAGACAGAATATTCTGGAGCAGACAAAAATAGAACCTCACAAAATTGTTCATACCAAGGATTTTAGTGTTTGTATACATCTTATTTCTGTACTCCTCATCTTTTTTAATATTTATTTTTTTAGACATAGGTGGACACAATATATTTTATATTTATGTGGTGCTGAGGATCCAACGCAGTGCCTCACACATGCTAGGCAAGCTCTACCTCTGAGCCACAACCCCAGCCCTTCATTTTTTAATCTAGAGAGCAAGGTGGTTTCTTTCCTCCTTACTAGTAAAACTTGCATACTAATTTGCCCTGAAGTGCAGTTTATACCCTTTTATATTCTACAGAGGTACTACCAGGGTGAGTTAGTTCAACATTTATTTCTTGCTTGAGAAAATTCAGAGAAAAAAATCTTTGACACAAATAATAATAGAAAACAAAATTGAAATTGAAATAATAATGATGCAGTTCCTATAGAGTTCACAGGCTATTTTTTAATTTCAAAATCAAGTCTTGCTATTTATTACTGATGAAAATAATGCCATGTAGAGAGAGAGATTCTTAAGCCTCATAAGGAAGAAGGTGTTGTTACTGTTTTTCTGTGGCATCTCAGCACATGAGCCTACTAAAATGACACCATTTGTTTTAAATTGTGGTGTCTCAGAAAAGCATGCAATCTGTATTTGCTTGGTTAGGAAGAGAGTACTGAAGTTGAAGGTTTATAGAATGGCAAGGGAAAAATTAATAAACCATATTTGATTATCGTCTTTCTTACCAGTAATCAAGTCCCAGGCTTGCAAATTGGTTTTCAAAAGTATACTGAGTGTTTCCAAAGTACTCGCAAACTCGTTTTCAAGTATTTTAGGTGAAGAAATGAGGGGGAAAAGTATTAAGCCTTTGGAAGGAATGTGGACTTCATTTTTTGGGTATTAAGACTATTGTAACAATGTAGCGTCTCCCGCTGAACGGACACTGCAGCAAGGTGGGATGGTGGGGGAGAATGGTGCTTGTAGGACGCTTGTTTTCTGCTGGAAGGCCCTTAGTTAAAATTGTATTTAAGCATATATGACCTAGGATATTAATTGTTTTTCAACTTTTAATGGAAAATTGCCCATGTAATCAATCCAGGTGCTGCAGGTGAGAAGGGATACCTGATGGAGGCTTACACATACTCAAGTGCAATGCAAGACCGCACTTAAAAGACGGGGATGGTCACTGGCCTTCCTGGAGCTGACTCGATTCCTCAACCCCAGTGGCGCAGTGTGCATTCTCGCCGACCCACTAGGTTCAGGATTCTCGGGGCTCCCTGACACGGGAAAGTGTTCGTTCATATGTGGCCCTTTCTCCACTAGATGTCACTGCAAATCAAACGCTAGTGTTTGGACCCTCTTCAGACCGTACCAGGGTTTCAAACGCGGTCAGTCTCTGCACTTGTGTCCTCCGCGACCGGGGAGCCCAGAGCGGGCGGGGCGGCGTGGCGCGGAGCGTCCCTGCAGCGGGAGCAACACACCGGCCCAGGCTCCGCGACCCGACAGGGCGGCGCACCGGCAGCGGGGTGATGCTGAGCCTGGCCAGCCCCGTGCACCCCCGCCCCCGCGACGGTCACGTGCTGCCGAGGCGCTGCCCCCCGCGGGCGGCGGCGAGAGAGGAGGGCGGGGCCGCAGCGCTGCGCCGCGCCTGTCGCGCAGGGTCGTTTTGGGCCGGGCGCGCGCCAAGCGCGTGCGCCACGCGAGAGTGAGTGTGAGCCTCGCGCGCGAGCCGGGCGCCGCAGCCGGGGTGGGCGGGGGCGGGGCTAGCGCGCGCGCGCCCGCCGGAGGGGGAGGGGCGGAGCCGCCGCGGCGCGCGCGAGACCGGCCGCCGCGACTGTGGGGGAGCGTGGACCGCGGCGCGTTGGAGCAACTGCCTTTCCTCGCGCTCCTCCCCGGCCCCGGTGAGGGCACTCTGCAGCGGCGGCGGCGCTGGAGCCCGCGAGGCCGGAGCAGGCAGCCGGGCTCGGGCATGGTGGTCTGGGGCAACGCGGAAGGTGAGCGACCCCGGGCCGGCGGCGGGGTGGGGGAGGGGTGGCGCCGGACACGCGTCGTCCGGAGACGCCGCAGACCCGCGCGGCGGCGGCCGGCCTGAGGTGCGGGTGGCGGCGGGCGCGCCGGCGCGGGCGGCACGGGCCGTGCTCTCGCGGCCTGGGCTGCCCGCAGCGCCCGCCCCTCGGCCGGCGGCCGCCGGGTTATGTAACGCGTGACCTCCCCTTCCTCCTCCACCATGGCGCGCCGGTCCCGCCGCCGCCGCGGCTCGCGGCCGCCCCGACCCCAGCCCGCGGCCCTTCCCTCCGCGACCCGCCGCGGACGCCGCCCGCCGCCCCGCGCCGCAAACTCCTTCCTCCTGCGCCGGCGCCTCGGCCGGCCATTGAGTCCCGCGCCATTCATTCGTGCGCGCGTTCGGGCGTCCGCTCCCCGAGCGCTGGCAGAATGTCGGCGGGCGCCGCGCTCCTCCGCCCGGCCTCCAGTCACTGCCTGTGCCCCACGCCCGGGCCCCGCAGTCCCTGTCGGAGTATCCACAGGCAGTTTTTATCACTCGCGTTTCCTTGATACTTCTCTGGCCCTTAATGTGCAGCGCACCTTTCCCCAACTGTCCTTACAAGTGTCCCTTTCACACTTGCACACACTGTTGAAATGACTCAGCCCCGGTGTGGACGGAAAGTGGCGTTTCTGTGTGTTTCACTGCTCTTCCTACGTATTCCCAGTTGGAAAAGCAAGAACCTTAACATAGCCTAGCTCCTTAATTGAGCCCCCTTGTTTAATTAAAAAATGACAGATGATCTAGGTCCAACTCAGTCTTCATCCTCTCAGGTCATGTACTGGTAGAAATGGTACGTGGGTGACAAGAAATCGTGTAGACTGGCATGCCATAAAAAGCGCTTGTAACTATTAGCACTTTATGTAACAAGTCTTCATTCTGTGTATCTGCCTGGCCTCTCTGGCTCCTCTGGTCTCCAAGAATAAGCCATTATTTGCTCCTTAGGTTGAGTAATACATATCATGGCCTTGGTTCTTGCTGTGGAGTACCCAGTAACTCATTTTTTGGTTTTTACAATCTACCTGCTTTCCAAACGTAGGTTTGTGGTTTCTTATAGCCTTGGCTTTGCCTTTGCAAATTCTGCTAGCATAATGTTACCTCATGTCCTAGACTTCTGTGCTGGACACTTGGAAACTCACTTAAAGTCTCTCTTCCAAAGATCCAGTCTAAAGGTTATCTTCCCTTCAGTGGTTAGGCTATTTGCCATTTTTCATGTGTTGTGATACTTATCTTTTATCCCAATCCTGTTTTTCTCTATTTTATAGGTCCTTTAAGGTCAGACTGTACCAAACTCATAAAACTTTACCCTAATTTTATAGTAAACAGTACCTGTTAAGATTTTTTTAAGAGATGGAAATTGCTCTTTTAGTATTAATTTCCATTAATATTAAAATACTATGCTGTTTCAAGCATAAAATACAATTTTTTTCAAAAAATGTAAAATCACTCCATTTCCCCCATCCCCAACTCACAACTCAAATTTTACATAAGAGAATTAAAGAAATCCTATCCTCATCAGAAATGATTAGTCATTGTTAATGAGAAATTATAAAAGTTACATATTTATACTTGATAGTCTGGTCTTTGATAGCTTCTGTGGTGTAAAGATAAGAACTTAGGAGTGAGATTTGGGTTTGAATTCTGTGTTATGACCTTGGGCAAGTTAAGTTAGTAATATCATTGATTTTTTTTTTTTTTTTTCTCATTCATAGAATGAAGACATCATTTTCCACCGTGGGTAGCTGAGGATTAAATGGTGAGACCTGGATATATACACATTGGTTACTCAATAAGTACTCCTTTGGTATATATCCCTTCACTATCTAGAATGAGCCTGAATGTGCTAGAGAGAAAGCATGAAAGGAAAACTAATCAAAGGAGACATTAGGTACCTCTTATCTCCAAATAAAAGGAGTTCTAGATTAAGAAACATTACGATTCTTTCTGCTTCTCCACATATGGATATCTGTGGCATAGTAAAAATCACAAGGTAGATTAAGCCGAGCTTTTTGTTTTTCCCCTTTCTCTGAACTGTTAACATGGATATTAATTTTCCCCCAAATGCAATTTGAGAAAGGGAGTGTGAGAAGAGAGGGATATTACTGTCTTTTTTTTTTTAAAGAGACAGTGCAGTTGCAGCAGTTGCAGTCTCCTTTAGTATCATCTACTTGTAGACCATGCATGAATTCTAGTCTTAAGTTCTGTTATCTTTTGCTTGAATTGTTTGAATAGTGTCTTCACTGGTGTCCCTATTTCTCTTGCTTCCTGACTAGTCCCTACATAACAATCAGAGTGATGTATTTTTATTTATTTTTTGATACAGGGGAATGAACCCAGGGGTGCTTTACTACTGAGCTATATTCCCAGCCCTTGATATTTTTTTATTTAATTTTTATTTTTTTAATTTTTTTTTTTAGTTTTCGGTGGATACAACATCTTTATTTTATTTGTATGTGGTGCTGAGGATTGAACTCAGCACCCTACGCATGCCAGGCGAGCGCACTACTGCTTGAGCCACATCCCCAGCCCTAGCCCTTGGTATTTTTATTTTGAGATAGTCTTGCTGAGTTGCTTAGGACCTTACTAAGTTGCTAAGGCTGGCCTCAAACTTGTGTTTTTCCTGCCTTAGCGTCCACGGTTGCTGGAATTATAGGTGTGTGCTACCATGCCTTGTCAGAGTGATTTTTTAAAAAACAAATAAGATTTGTCATTTTCTTGCTCAAAATCCTGCAAAAGCTTCCTGTTGCATATAGAATTGAATTCAAGACCCTTACCCCAGTCTATCAAGGCATTGCCTGACTTGGCAACTGCCAACTTCTAATTTATGTCTTGCTCTAGGACTATTCATTACCCTGCTTCACTGGGTACTTAAACTGTTCATGCCTTATAATGTTATCCTTGCTGTTTTTTTAGCTGTATTACCCCTTCCTCTAAATGGTCGTGGCTCTTATCTTCACGTCTTCTGTTTGATGCAAAAAATTCATCACTTGGAAGGCCTTCCAATGATCTCTAAAACAGAACCTGGCTTCTTCCTCTGTCCCTTGATTTCATGGTATTTCTCCTTAGCATGTAATACTAGGTGAAGATACATTGTTCACTTATTTATTGATTCTCCCATTAGACTTGTTTGTTTCCCCTTCCCAACTAGAGGGTAGAGATCTTTTCTGTTGCATCATTCCTTAGAATTTTGCTGGTTTATATTAGATCCTTAGTCAAACTTGTTAAAGGAATGCATGGTATAGTTGATTTGAACATTGGTTCTGGAATCAACCTGGGTCAAAATCCTGGCTTCTACCCTTTACTGATTGTGCAGCTGTGGGCAGGCTTTGGGTGCCTTTGTATGCTCATCTATCTGTAAGATGACTATAAAGGATTACAGTGAGTAATAATTTGAATTAATACATGTAAGGTGTTTCTGTGAGAGTTATTTTATACTTTTTAAAAAATTACTTGGGGACTGGGGATGTGGCTCAGTTGTAGAGCACTAAGGCCTGGGCAGTTCAGTCCCTAGCACTGCAAAAAAAAAAATGTTTTGACTTAAGATTTGGCATGAGATAAAATATGAAGTAATTGATTTTTTTTTATACTTATGACCTTTCTTGGCTGAATTTTTATGGGCTACCAAATTATATTTATGGATTTATGGAACTTGTTTAGTTTTTAATAAGTAGATTTTGTATAGGTCTAGAAAAAATTAAAAAATAAACTGCTGAGAATGATGACCTGTATTTGGTCTTAATGTGTAAGTCAGGTTTTTATTCTTCGGATCTGTGGAAGATACTAAGAGTGATTATCTCAACAGCCACCCACCAGAGTGGCTTTTATATATTTCCCTTTGAAGTTCTGCTGGATATATGATTGTGGTGATGAAAGGACTTGCTGGAGGCTTCCTGTCTTTAGATAGGGAAGCCCTTGAAGATCCAGTTAAGGTATGAGTCTTGTAGTATTTGGGAAGGAAAAGATGTTTTATCCTCTTTAGTGTGTTGAATTTCTGCCTTTCATTTTGAGTTTTTCCCCTCAAATTGTGTTTGGTTCTTAATTGGAGCTTAACACAGTCCAGCTATAACTGTATATCTTTCTTTATCCTTCTGTTCTTTGCATAGTGTAATTGCTTCTTCTGTAGCATTTCCAGAAATAGTAAAGAATTTCTAGACACAGTGACTTTGTAATAATAAATAGTTTGAGCTAAGACAACTTGAGTTATTTTTGTAAACTTAAGATTCTTCTGTTTTAATTATATTTGCATAGTACCAGTTATTTTTACTTGATCCACTTGTCCTCTTTGTAGTAACATGTATTATTTCTCAGTCTGCCTAGAATCCTCGACTTTGGGCTTTAACTTTTTTAAAAAATTGAAATACTGCTTGTATTTACATTTGTCCAAAATCTAATAATTACTAAATTATTAAATTATTAAATAATTACTGGGCTCTTTGCTAAGTGCATTGTCTTGTTTAATATTCACAACCACCATATAAGGTAGGCACAGTTGTAAAGAGACAGATTTATAGAGGTGATGTTGCTGGGCTGGATCACACAGGTAGGTCAGAATATAGCCAGGGTTTCTACCTAGTTCCACCTGATTCTGTATTTCAAGGTCATAACCACTCTTCTGTGAGCCACATTAAAAATAACAAGGTTTCTGTTTGGAAACTTGCCATTTTATTTTATCACATTATTTGTGAGTAGGTAGCCTCTTAAACTACTGGCAGTTTTACCATTTTTTATGATTTTAGTTTCTTTGGATTTAACTATCACTACACTTCAGTGCCTACATGTTCCTTATGTGTGAGACATTAAGTTGGTAATATGCAAAATCATTTACATTTTTTTCTTATTCTAAAAAGCCATTAAAAATAAGTCAAAGCATCATATATCTCATGGTACATCAGCTTTGTAAATAGTTTGGAAAAGTTTTGAATGTAATGGATGTGATAGATTTGATTTAAGAAAACAAATGTCTTTAGATTTGCTGAAAATAAGTTTCAGGTAACATAAATATTTAATAAAATATTAATGTCTTTCTGCTGATTACAGAGCAAATCTTTTGTTATCTTTTTTTATAAGGAAACATTTGTGGAATATTTTAACGTAAGTTTTAATGATTCTTGATGTCTGTTTGTAAGACTTTCTTTTGTAAGAACAACTAAAGTAAAAATTGTTGAATTAATGCTTAAGTAGAGTCAGATTGCTGGTGCTAGAAAGAATCTTAGATTGTATCCCTAGCCTTCTGGAGGAAAATGAGATCCAGATAATTGTTCAACTGTGAATGAGGAGAAATTTAGGGCTATAACCTAGGTGGTTTTTTTTTTTTTTAATTCTAAAAGTGATGTTTTTTTCTATTACATTCTGCTCTGTGCATCTGTTGTCCAGGGAAAAATCAACACTTTGAAATCTCTTATTTAAGAGGGCAGAATATTGAACAATATGTTTTTGTAAAATTGTGATTTAAAGTCTTGAATTTTTTTTATCATTGGAAGTGAGTAGAAAAAAAAATTGTCCTCTATTTATAATGCAGTTAGAAAATTTGTTCTCTTGTGTAGAAAGGTAGTTGCTTTATCCACATAGGATGGTTTAAAAGAGTGAGAATGGGAGAAAAATATGGCTGTTAAGTAAGTAGTTTGTACTTGAATCCAGTATGTGAATAACCAAAATATTGCTTACTAGCTTCTGTCCTTCTTGGTCAGACCCAAGACTTAGGAGAAACTTCTTAGAGGTTTAGTCACAAAATAATGAGTGCACATTACATTTTCTAAACGCCATCATTCTTACATTTGATATTACTCAAAATTGACTTAATGCATTTTTATCTTTTAGACATTAGTCTGAATTATGTAGTTGAAATTATAATTATTCTTTGCCCTTTCAAATGCCTTTTACCAAGTTAGGAATCTTATTCTTATAATAATAGGCTCTAGTTCTTGATGACTTGTTGGCTCACTATTTTAAGCCTTTTTTTTTTTTTAAGCTTGGATAGTCAATTTTATTTTAAACCCCCTTCCTTTTTGGTGGAGGGTGAGTACTGGGGATTGAACTCAGGGACACTCAACCACTGAGCACTGAGCCACATCCCCAGCCCTGTTTTTTTTTTTTTTTGTATTTTATTTAGAGATAGGGTCTCACTGAGTTTCTTAGCTATTGCCGAGTCTGGCTTTGAACCCTCAATCCTATTGTCTCAGCCTCCTGAGCTGCTGAGGTTACATGCATGCGCCACCATGCCCAGCTCTCTTTTTTTGTTTTAACATGGATGATTTAAGGTAGATAATCTTTAATTTAAAAAACATTTTAATAATTCTTTAATATATTAAAGAGCATAGCTTAAAATAAGAAACTTTGTACTAAGTGGGATGTTTTATAGCTTAAAGAATGGTTTCACTCAGCTTTCCTCCTTTAAGTCCCAGAGTCCTGGGAAGAGAAGTAGGTCAGTATATTCTGTATTTTAGCTGCTGAGTAATTCTGGTACCAACTTCCCAGAGTTAAGTTAGGCATCACACTGAGGGCATGGCCTGCCAGAATCCCCTCGCTTTAGTTACCAGTCGCAAACTCTAGGATTTCCAGGCCACTCACAATTCTGATCAAGGCACTATAACTTCTGAAGTCCCCACTATCCCCTAAGCTTTGTTAATTTGCTAGAATGACTCAGAATTCAAGAAGCTTGGAAGAACAGGATATGATAAATGAGATGTGTGGGGGGAGGATAAAGCTTTCATGCCCTCAAGACTTTATGCTTCCAGTACACCAGCCAGAGAAGCTCAC